TTTGCGGGGTGGCCCTTTTTTTCTAGTTCCGCCACTGGTTATGAAATCTGAAATAAGATCGTTAAAATTATTAGCCCTGGCCCTGGGGCTTAGCGAAAAATTCATAATCTCTGGCATTAATTAATTCATTAAAACATATTTTGAATGTTGACACACACACACAAAAAACACAATTCTAATTGGTTATCGATCCCAAAAACCTTAAAAAACTCGATTCTGCCACACCGATACACTAAAAGCCAAACTATCCATTATGTAACGTCAGTCAAAGTTCCGTTAAAAAATTCAAAAAATATATGCACGCTTGGAAGATTTTAATGAGCACGTTTTTTTTTAAAAGAAGATTATTTTGAATTATTAAATGTTCTTTTTTACTATTCAACATTACACGTTTAAAAACAATATTTATAGTTTGTATCACAGAGTTCACTAGACGTTTTAAAATGTATTTTAGGCAGAGGCGTAGCGACCCTTCCCGGCGCCCGGGGACATACTTTCAATTTGGCGCCCCCTCGGGAGCAAATTTTCGATTTGCACCCCCCCCCCCTCGAACTTCTCATTTGCAACCCCCTCAAACTTTCGATTTGCACCCCCCCTCGAACTTTTTATTTGCACCCCCCCGCCCTCAAACTTTCGATTTGCACCCCCCCTCGAACTTTTCATTTGCACCCCCCCTCAAACTTTCAATTTGGCGCCCCCCCTAAGGTCGGCGCCCGGGGACATATGTCCCCCCCTCGCTACGCCTCTGATTTTAGGCCAAAACAAATTCTTAATATTTAGTGTCGAATAGAATTAGAAAAAGAACTCTGAATGAAATTCAATGTATCTATGGAAAGTTATGTCCCATGGGACCCTGAGTTTACGAACGCAGGCTCAGTGTGTGTGTGGGGGGGGGGGGGGGGATAGACAGCGGCCATGACTTTGGTCACATGACCTGCCAAGGGAAATCAACTCCGCGGGACGTTTACCCCAAACGAATTGAAAGGATTGGAGGGAATCAAATTATCACGTGACTGGATCCACATTTCGCGAGCAGACGGTGGGCTGAATTCTGGGTAAAATCTCGTCTGTAACGACAATGCCATCCCATAATATCCTGGGGTTTCTTTTATTTTTTTTTATTTTTTTTGTTCAAAACAATTTATTTTTAAAAGAATCTTTTTTTAAATATTTTTTTTGGAATAAAAAATTAAATATTTTAATCTTTAACATTTTGATGACACGTGACAGGTGTAATACTGTAGCGTAATGGATGATTGTAGGGTTGTTTTGTCTTTTTTTTTTTGTTTTTTTTTTTACATTTTACTTTTTTTTTTGGGAAGGGGGGGGGGGAGTTTGGAATATTAATAATTATTAGAATAATTTATGAAAATTTGATAATTTTGCGTTGCTTTGTCTGAAATGGATCACAGTATAATATCGTACAGTATCTAGCGTTTTCACATTAAACGTATTTAAATAAACAAATAATAATAAAAATAATTTAAAAGACAAAAAAAAATAGTATCGTCCCGTCAATTTACAAGGTATTTTCATATTTTTTTTTATCATGCCGTTCAAAAGTGTTAAATTTGTTTAGCGTTTTTTTTTTATAATTTTAAGCAGTGCGTCATAAGACTGGGTCGTTAATAGTGGTTTTAACAACGTTTTATCCAGTCAGTAGATGGAAAAGTAGTGAGAGAGAGAAAGGGGTGACATCAAATAAAAAATTAAAAATCATTGGATGAGGCAGGGTTACACGCAGCAGTTACAATACCGGGTGACACTCGACCTAGTGACGCCACTGATCCTAATCTTCATACAAATTTTCATAAAAATAACTAAAGGGGGAGGGGGAAAAACTATGACGAAGAATTCGTTAGGTTAACAAAAAGGGAAACAACCCCACTCAACCTAAATAAGGGACGTAATCAACATCTAATCATTCCAGCCGTCGTCGGCCAAACTTGAAGAGCCCAATCGATTTCTGGCTCTACTACAGACGTGGGGTGGGCTACTGTAAACACTCTTCTGTTTCACCGGCTGATAAACGTCAACGGGCAAACAGAAATTTCAGCGTGAAACAAAGAGAAATAATTAAGGTGAACACAGCGTTGATTGTAGAGTAGATTAAGGCTAAAGGAAAACTTTGCCCTTAAAATTTGCTGGGAAATATGGAACAGTGTATAGAACAGCCGACCCACCTTCACTCCCTAAAATGATCCCCTCAACATTTGCCACCCTTCTGGGGGAGCGCATCATCCAGAGCCCGTCTTAGTGGTGATACTGACTGTCTCTCTGATAGTGCGCATCATCCAGCGCCCGTCTTAGTGGTGATACTGACTGTCTCTCTGATAGTGCGCATCATCCAGCGCCCGTCTTAGTGGTGATACTGACTGTCTCTCTGATAGTGCGCATCATCCAGCGCCCGTCTTAGTGGTGATACTGACTGTCTCTCTGATAGTGCGCATCATCCAGGGCCCAATCCAGGTTATCGAACACGCCATTACTGAGTTAGAATTCATGTAGTCTGTCTGTTGAACACACCTTCCAAAACGCTTATATAATATAAGTATTTCTTACTTCGCAAATTTACCTTGCATTAAAAATGTTTCTATTCCATATATGCCTACCCTTGTGCATGAAGGAAAAAGTCGATCTTTTTCCACACCTTTTGACAGAACGTTATATCTAGTTTTTGTGTATTGTGTGTAAACTTTTTCTAATGGGAACTTGCGGTAAATATTTGTAGACTTTTATTACAATCACACTTTCAGTTTTTTTGAACGTTTTATACAGAAAGATTTAGGTGCAGCTAAAAAAAACAACACAAAAATGTGTATTCTTTGTTTAGCTATGTAGAAATATCAAATAAAAACAAAGCGAACTAACTGTCTGTGAAAGGGAAATCATTATTTGATATGTATCCGATATCAAGTTGTGTAAAAATGTCAACATCCCATATGACAGACTGTCCCGTATCTGATTATACCCCACCACCCCCTTCCCCTTCCACCCCATCAAACCGCTTCCACCTAATGATTGATTGAAGAGCCAGTGGTAGGGAAGTTTAAAGAACAAGATAGCTGTGGTTTTATAAGCTATATCAGTGCCACAGACTGATGTTGTTAGGAGAGGGAGCGGGGGGGGGGGGGGTAAGAATCATCCACATGGACACTTTAAATGACCACTGTCTCAAATTTAAGATACGGCTATTGGCTATGGTGTGGTTGTTTCGTTTATTTAAACTTTAAAAAAATAAACAATTTAAGTATACGTTCCTATTATAGTTATGGTAGATGTGTGTGTGTGGGTGTGGGTGTATGTGTGTATGTGTGTGTGAGTGTGTGCATGTATGTGTGTGTTTATGTGTGTTTGCGTGCGTATTAGCGTGTGTGTGAGTGCGTGTGTGTGTGCGTGTGTGTGCGTGTGTAAGTGTGCGTGTGTGTGTAAGTGTGCGTGTGTGTGTGTAAGTGTACTTGTGTGTGTGCGTGCGCACGTGCGTGTGTGTGTGCGTGTGTGTGTAAGTGTGCGTGTGTGTGTAAGTGTGTGTGTGTGTGTGTAAGTGTGCGTGTGTGTGTGTGTGTAAGTGTGCGTGTGTGTGTAAGTGTGTGTGTGTGTGCGCGCACGTGCGTGTGTGTGTGTGTGTGTGTGCGTGTGTGTGTGTGTGTTTGGGGAAAAATTGAAACCCATCCATTCTTCTCCCAATGACTCTACTTATTAAACTTGATAAACTTGATAAACTTGATACAAACGATGGTGTAGAAAAACTTGGTATGTTTTGTTTCTTAAGTTTAAGGTTACTTAGTTTTAATATACAAAGTATTGTAACTAATTTATAACTTTTAGTCACAGCGACAGAAAAACATTGAGCTCAAATTATTGTTAAGTAGCTCTTTATTCTAATAAGGTTGATAATCACTGCTATTAGCCATAATGTATACCTTCACACAGTGTGGGGTGGGGGGGGATGGTTCATATGACAGATGAACTAGTGATCATATTTCATTGATCCAGTGACCTAATAGCAACATTGCGTGTTCAGTACCGTCTCTATCCGGTGTTAGTTTATCCGACTTGGGTTGGGGACATATCCAAGCTTGGTTAACGTTTCACGAACTCAGGGCCAGGTGCTAAACTTGAGACATTTGGCTCAGCAACGTGTGAGTCGACCCAGCTTTGATGAGTACCTAACTCATGCAAGGGAAAGTAAAGGCGGCTAGGTATTGTTCTGACCACATTATCACTTAATATGCCGAGGTCACAGGAGCAAGTGAAATTTTCTTGACTTGCCCAGCAGACCATCTATATATATAATTCTCTTCTGGGAGCCGTTAGAAAACAAGCTGCAAGCGCGCCTTACAGTCCCCTCTCTTCCTCTCTATCGCTACCACACCCCACCCCCCACCCCCTCACATGATCTGGTGAGCTGTGGTTCACGCTGTTTACATTTTACAATCATAGAGACGGGTTTGGTGACGGCTATTAGGGGCAGATAATTTAGCTTGAAACGATTTTAAACTTAGAGGAGGTAACTTAGAGGAGGCTGCTTTCACGTGGGGGGGGGGGAGGGGTTTTTAGTGTTTTTAAGCAAATATTTTCAGTGGCAGCATTGGTACTGTCGAATTCACAAATTATAAATTACTGAAAAGTAGAAAAAAAAACTAAATAGTGGCGTATGATACGCAGCGGGTCGGCTCGTCAGATTTGAAACGGAACTTTACTTAATATGTGATTAAACTCTCAACCACACCATTATCACTTTAAAAATAATTAATTCCATATTCTGATAGACGATTGGATAGTTCCGCCGTGGAAATCAAGACGCAAGGACAGTAAGTTTAGAAGAGCCAGATGTTACCTTTATATCACCCCCTCCTCTCTCTCTTTCTCTCTCCATCACTCTCTCTCTCCACACAGCTGATGTACCCGTATATGTATCTTAATACCTTAGAGCCATATAAGACAGTGTTCTAACATAATTTATTTTCGCCTTTATTTCCAGAATTCTGTAGACACCGCTCACGACAATGCTCGGCTGTTGCCTACGCCCACGCGGCGACGAGAAATCGGTCCCAATTCTGGACGTGGAGAAAGTCCTCCAGGACCACGTCTGGAAGCTTTTCGTCGAATCCCAGCCCAAAATTCTACGGACCTGCCTCTGCCGCGACAGCTTCACCGTCGACGTGCCAATGAACTTCTTCCTCTTCGAGACCATCCGGCAGAGCGTGACGCCGCGCGCCCGACCGGAAATGGGGAAAGACGGTCACGTGTTCTTGCAGAACGACAACCACATGAAAGAGAGCAACTTCGGGCCCGTGCGGAAAAAGAACGAGAAAAAACAACCCGAGGTGGATTCGAATACGTTAGTAATCGCGACAGATTTCGTCAACGATACCGGTCTTGAGCAGACGTATAAATTCCGGTTGGAAAAAACTCGCAAAGCGGCCTTAAATGTGACGTTTCAGAAAGGGTTTACCATAGGAGGTAAAGCGAATTTCACTCTTGGTCTTCCGAAAATCGCGTCCGATTCGAAAGCTGAATTCGGGACGGATATGAGCGTGAATATATCTAAAGAAAAAGGGGAGGTAATTGAGGAGACGGTCGTGTTGGAGACGACGAGCGACGTTCGGGTGGAGAAGAAGTCGAAGTACGTCGCTAAAGTGGTCTTGGTCGAGCGGCAAGTCGCCTACGACTTTAAGGTCTACAGCAGGATGAGCATGCCCATGGGCAGCGCTCTAGCCTCGGTGGTCAGAAAAAAAGACGGGAAAATATTCTTCACCACCGTCATCAAAAATTTGAAAACCGTTTTCGAGAATTACGAGAAGCAAGTCACGATTTTGACCAACGCTGGTCAATCAGAGACCAATGACTACGTCATCGAGTTCAAAACCGTCGGGGTTCTGGAAGGGGTCAGGCTTTCAGATCAAAGGATTATTCTAGAAGCTGCCGAGCTTCATAAACCCCCGGCGTTGCAGTGTCGGATCGAAGAAAAACCAGCGCCGGAAAGAACGACAATTAACGTGGATTACGTCCCTTTACAGCCTACCATTTACCCTTTCAGCTGCGAGAGGAGTGGATCGTTATCGACGCCAGTGATCGAGGAGTTAGACGAGGAGGAGGAAGAAAGCAACAAGGATTCCGCCTCGGTATTTTCGAGGACTCATGGGGGACACCGCGGCCCCACCTCCATAGGCGTCATCCCCTGCATCGTGACGACCAGTCCGAGTTCCGTGTGTTCGAGTCCCCTGTCTGAGAAAGAGGCCAGTGACGCCTCTGATGCTAGCAAGAGTACAACAGTATAGAGGAGAATGTATAGGCTACTAATGTATACTTATCACGATTTTCTTTAAGAGTACAACAGTATAGGGGGAAATGTATAGGCTACTAATGTATACTTATCACGATTTTCTTTAAGAGTACAACAGTATAGAGGAGAATGTATAGGCTACTAATGTATACTTATCACGATTTTCTTTAAGAGTACAACAGTATAGGGGGGAATGTATAGGTTACTAATGTATACTTATCACGATTTTCTTTTATATTGGAATGTTTGGTACTTTTTGGTTAGACATACGGCACCATAAGTTGGGGTTTAATATATAAGTTTAGTGGGGAGATAAGACATATGGTCTCTGAGATATTTTGTCTGAGATATGTTGATTGAGATATTTTGTCTGAGATATTTTGTCTGAGGTATTTTGTCTGAGATATTTTGTCTGAGATATTTTGTCTGAGATATTTTGTTCATAATATCTTTTGTTTGATATATTTTGTCCATAATATCATTTGAATGAGATATTTTGTCCATAATATCTTTTGTCTGAGATATTTTATCTGAGATATTTTGTCCATAATATCTTTTGTCTGAGATATTTTGTTCATAATATCTTTTGTTTGATATATTTTGTCCATAATATCATTTGCCTGAGATATTTTGTCCATAATATCTTTTGTCTGAGATATTTTATCTGAGATATTTTGTCCATAATATCTTTTGTCTGAGATATTTTATCTGAGATATTTTGTCCATAATATCTTTTGTTTGATATATTTTGTCCATAATATCATTTGTCTGATATATTTTGTCCATAATATCATTTGCCTGAGATATTTTGTCCATAATATCTTTTGTCTGATATATTTTGTCCATAATATCATTTGTCTGAGATATTTTGTCCATAATATCATTTGCCTGAGATATTTTGTCCATAATATCTTTTGTCTGATATATTTTGTCCATAATATCATTTGTCTGAGATATTTTGTTAATATCTTTTGAATAGAGATATCTTGTCTCTGATAACTTACGTCGTTGAGATAATCATTTTTGTGATCCTTTATCATGGAGCCGTATCTGGTAATATATAGCTATAGACTTAGGTTTCTTTATACAATTTAGCACAAGGAACAAATTCCTAATTTTGCTCTCAAAGACTCTAGGCTTTAAACATATTTCTACTAATGGAAAGAAATATACCTCACTAGTTGGACCTGAGCCTCCATCCTACCCTTTCAAAAACATAGGACTTGGGGTGGGTCCACTGCTGTTAGATCTAGATTAGTCTTAATCTAATGGGATTAACAGAATCTGTTTTGTCGTACGTCTCTCCATAAGTTTATTTTTTACTGTAAATATTTTTATGTATCAGTACCTCTGTACCCCTACCTCACCCCCGTCCACCTCAACCACCTCACTACAATAAATAACTTAATACCTAAAGAATTTCTTTGAATAAATGAAGTAGAATTTGAATTCATTGAAATACGAATGTTCTTTTCATCTCATGTTTTGTCGAATATATCGCTACTTTACTTTTTTAGTGCTAAGAACTAATAAGAACTAATTTCGCTCAAGTATCGCTTTTAATGACAAAACGCAACACTCGTGTTAATTTATTGGAATAGAAAAGACAAATTCTTACAAACAGACCGTTTTGGATAGGTTTTTTTCTATTGCGATTTTGCTTTTATGATTAGGATTAAGGATATTGTCGGGGTTTATTTTATGTCCAGCGATAGACGACCATACTCCTGGGCTCGAAAGGGTAGCTTCCCTTTTATTTTCTTTCCTAGTTACCAAACTACTTGCCTAATCCTAATCCGGATCGGAAATCAAACGGTACTATCGCTGGCCACACTATCTCTTCATATGCCCACCCTACATGAAAAGTCCAAACTGATCTATTCCCAATCTAAAGAACCAATCTAAATTTTACTCATAACATTGGCTCTTGTATTGACAAGTACTTCTAGTCTTGGCCACAATCATCATAGATTTATTGTAAACAAAATTATTTGAAGGCAATGATCTTAGTATACAATGATCTTTGTAGACAATGTTACTTGTAGACAATAATTCTAGATATTGATCATTGTATATTTTTTACAGACAACAATGTTTTGTAGTTAGTGATTTTGTTTTCCAGAATTGCGTGTGGTTTTACAAATGTGACAATTGTTTTTTTATTTTGGAAAAAAAAAACTTTAGAATCTGCTCTTTTAATAATATTTTTCTAAAAAAAACTGTGCTTGCTGTGCTAATGTCAACAAATATATTTATTGTGTATTAATATATTAAAATGACAGTATTAACTTATTACTTCTGATGTCATGTCGTGTTTCTATTAAATTTGGTGTTGTCAAGTCAAATGGTAAAAAAATTTAAACAGTGTCTAAAAGATCGGTTTTGTTACAACCATTTTAATAAGTTTCATTTTTTTTAAGAATACGGGAATATTCACACAAAAAATATCGGTTTTGTTTAAACTATTTTAATAACTTTAAAATCGTTTTATTTGAAGAACATGGTAATTCAGACGAATTGGTGGTCGAGTGATAGAGCGAGTGATTAGATGTCCCGTGGACTGGAGTTCGGTTCACTTGAGTCGTGGAATGTAAAGACGGCTGAGTCTGACCAAGCTGTTATTTCATCTGACGAGGTTGGAGAAACAGATGAAAAACTATGGCATCCGCTGTTTTGAAGAGACGCCTGCTTCATTGTTAACACGGATTTTTAAAAATACGTTTTTGTCAATTTTGACTTCATAGCGGTCGTTAAGGATGAAGAGAAAAAAATTAAGCCTGAAAAAAAATTTAAGTAATTTATTATTTTAAGAATCAATGCTTAAAAATCTGCAATTGCTCAGAATTTTAAAATATTCTATTTTTTTTTAATTTTAAGGTTATAATTCTATTAATTTATATCAACCAAAAAAGTTGAAAAAGTTTCACGTACTAGGAAAAGTTTTCATTTTCTATATCTATATCTATTTCTGTATCATATGGCCAGGATTTCAATTCTGCAGCCACCATCCGCTCCCTCTTTAATCACAATTTCTCCGGTTAATATTTTTAATTATTTTATTTTTTTAAATTTTGAACACAACATGATCTAGCAATGTCATGTTTGTTTCCAATTTCCGTGTAAAAATGAGAAAACACCAAAAAATTTGGTCTTCATTTTTTTAATGTTTGGTTGGTTACCGAAACTATAAAAACATCATTTACGTCCAAATTCCAGTTAAGGTCATACAAAAAACGTAAAATCAAATTTTTTATAACCCCATCAGGTTTAATAACATCGTCCACGACTTTAAAAATAATTAAATGGCTTCGCGAAAATCTTCTCTCTTGACGTCACGCAAGCTAATTTGTTTCTGTCGGATAAAAAGATCAAATGCTAAGTGGATGGTATATAATGAGGAATTTTTTTTTATTTATATGTAATAACGCACCATCATTTAATTTTAAAATAACCGAAAAGAAAATCGTGGGTCGATGTATTAACTTTAGAATACCATTATTAAAACGTAAGCGACCAATGATGTTCTTTTCTAGTTATTTGAATCCTTGTGCCCCCTATAACTTTAAATAAACTCATTTATTATTATATTTTTGGTGTGTACTTGGAAGTATTTTTTTTAAAAAGGCATATCCCTTTAAAGATAACATACCAGAGCTACGCAATGTTGGTTAGATATTCTTTGTGAAAATGAGAAATTAAAAAAAATAATTGTTTTCCACGTTTTTTTTTTTAAATTATGTTTTACCAAAAATATATAAACATCACATTCATACAACGCTTAGAAAAGCCAAACAAAAACTAAACAAACAAGTATTGATACCTCCCATCTGCTTTTATTAACAACGTACCGCTGTTTATTTTAAACAATTAAAGGACCTCTTGTAAGTTTTTCAGGTAGATGTCATTCCAATTAAACCGCCTCGCATAATTTTCAATATATCGGGGTGTAAGGATCACCAAGTAACCAGAGTTTCTTCCAGGCATCTCTTCGGGGGGGGGGGGGCTATGCCCCCCCCCCGAAAAATTTTTTACCGCCCCCCCCCCCCCGAACGAAATGAAATTTATATAATTTATATAGAAAATATATACTTTTAACAGTGTCCGCCCCCCCCCCCCCGAAGAAAGTCTACCGCCCCCCCCCCCGAAAATTTCAAGTGCACCCCCCCCCCCGGAGAAAAGACTGGAAGAAACACTGCAAGTAACGGACACACACTTTTTTCTTAGGTAGATACAATATCTAGTTAAAAACCAGCTTTTTGAATGGTGTATGCTGTTTAGAGCACATCTTAGAAATGTTTTTGTTTAGCCGACCTATCTACCACGTGTTGAAGTGGTCAGTTTGACAGCCATATCACAACTGACCAGATGGATGAAGTAGATTTTCGAAGTGTGCAAGGTGTGCGCAAGGAAGTGGGAGGGGGGGGGGGTCTCCAGCTACGGTAAAACTATATCTCTAGTCATTTTTAAGACTTTTAAAACTAAGTAAAAAAGCACAACTTAAAATTAAGTTGCCAATATCATAACAAACATTTCTCTATTGACAGTGTATGTTTAAAATAATATTTAAAATCTACAACATCCAAATCATGATATACGAGAAAAATGGCCCGTTGAGGAAGGATACAACGGGCGCTAGGTTGATAGTGCTGTCTATTTTCTCGGTACTTTAATTTATACAAAATATAGTCATAGGCATATCCCTAAACCATGCACCTAATCTCATTCATGACAAAAGTCGCATTTAGAGTTTCTCTCAGGCAACTCTACTTGGGAGGAGGGGGCTTCCTCTCTCCGGGGAGGAAAAAGGCTGAAAGAAACACTGGTCGCATTTGTAGATCATACAAACTAAAGGAAGAATCTGGGCGGGGCTTCGCCCCTACCGGAAGAGATGCTTGAAAAAAAACTGCACGCTAAACACTTTTTAGTTTAGAAAAAGTTCCTCCCTCCGGGGAGGAAAAAGTCTGAAAGAAACACTGGTGTCGCGCTTAGCCACTACCCGAAG